GCGAATAACCCAACGCTTCAACCTTTTGGATCGTGTTCTTAAATGGCTTCTTGTTGAAAGTCAGAGCAGAAGCTTCATATTTCCTTTCAATCGGCCTGTTAAAAGTTAGTTTAGCATCTTAGATGTAAACAGACGGGAAGAAAAGGCCCTAATTATGCACATAGACCTTTAGAGCCCATTACCACATGATCAGTTTTCATGAACCAGCATCAGTAAGGAAATTGAGGCTGTTTTTGAGGGTTTTGTATGTGTTTTGATGTTGGAAGTAACCGTTTTCCTGTTTAATCAATCGTTTTTTCCCAATCCTTCTCCCTGTGTTTGGCTAACAGCAGCTCATTCACAGATCACATGTCACTGAGACACTGTACACCTCCTGTACTCAATACATCCTTTTAGAAATATTCGCTACACAACAGAGGAAGCACAGACTTTGGGAAATGTAACAGAATTGTGCAGGATAGCAGCAGAACACTGATTCTGTGGTTACAAGACAGCGGTATCTTTTAATAGTGTTACATCTTTTCTTTTTGAGCTGAGATGCTTTATTACCCTCATTTCCTCAGTCTTGAAAGTTCAGGGTTTAGACATCTTTAAGTTAATTTTTTCCTGTGCATTTCATAGTTACTATGGAACAACAGTAAGGTAAAACATTTGCAGAAACATCGCTGACATGTTTGATTGCTGGAAACAAAAGAGTTTAAACTATCAAACACTCTTAACACAGCGGATATAGAACCCAGTATATTCCTAGAGTTTGGTCAAATCAATTTCAATAGTTTTATTACTACATAAATAACTTAATTGTATGTAGCGCGGAATTCAACGTGTTTTGCACCTTTTTTCTTTTTGAGGAATCTGAAGGCTTAAATTGACTAAATGGCACTAAAAACAATGGGTGAAACATGCACACGTTCATTGTACACACTCATTCAAAGCTGGGCTGTCACTTATTGGGTTTATTTAACTGCGGAGAACATTTAAAATGTACTGTAACTAAATGCCCCCCCGAAAGTTTCATCCACATTAATTACTTTTTGTTTTTTGCAAAACCACAAATCTGTCTATCACTTGTGGCAACCTTTTGTGGGCATGAATTCATCCTCCAGGCCTCCTGAATCTTGTTCTCTCTCCACAGCTTTCTGCAGTAACACAGCACCACCTGCAGGACCGCGTGGAGCATGAACGCCTCACGTTGGGAACATGAACGCCTCACGTTAGGAACATGAACGCCTCACGTTAGGAGTCCTGTTAACATGGAAGACCTGATTTATCGGAGAGAAACATCAAAACTATTTTTAAGAATCTGCTTGGCTTAGAGGGAAATAGTTAATTTATAAAGGATAATTGTACAACAAAGTAAACAGAAAATCAAATCAAAGGCAGAAAGAAGGAAACTGGTCACATGCACAGA